ACAATCCAAAATACGCGACTGAAATTTTGTCATCACATCTTTCATTGCAACATAAGCCACTTTAAAACACCCATCAAACCAACTAACCAGCAAATAAAATCACTCAAGCAAAATCCAAGTTTCAATGTCAAAAGGCTTGCCATACAAACAACATCACAGAACACACAATCGTGCCAAAACCAGTGCAGAACACATATCGCTACATTTGACAATGTCATACATCCGAGGGTGTAGAAAAGTGTAGTACTTTAGTTTGTCATAGGTTTTGAATAAAACTCTATTGATTTCAAGGATGACCAGAAACAAGTCCCTGTTATTCAGGAGAAAGGGGAAAAAATATTTTTTCCCCAGAAGAAAAGGGACCTGATTGCTCTCGAAATTATTGAGTTATATTCAAACTGTATGCCAAACTATGACTGCAAGATTACTTTTTTTATCAGAAATTCAGTGCTATGCTTGCTTCATCTTATATATGCGAACAAGTATTTTCAACTATGAACCTTAGAAAGAATTATTTCAGAACTAGACTGATAGATGAGCATTTAGCCTCATTTCTTAGAATCAGTACATCTCACTTCAAACCTCTATAAGGAACTTTTAAAAATGAAATTGCAATTTCCTTCATCCTATTAACATATTTAAATTGTAATACTTGTATATTGTTTTTAAAATTTTTAAAAAATGTATCTTGGCCGGCAAAACATTTTTTTTCGATATTTGGCCAGCGACTGAAAAAGTTTGCCCATGCTTGCTCTAACATATAAATCTGCAACATGTGCACTGCAGTGAAGTTTACTTTTTGTACAGTAATTTATTATATAAAATAATAATCTTATTGTTTCATAAGAATAAATTGAATTTAATTAAAAAATTAAATTTAAATACATATTTAATTAAATATTCTTTGCGCCATTGCTGCAAGGAATGAAATTTAAATTTAAACAAATTTAAATTCTTAACAAATACGTATAAAAGTAAAAAAGCAAATTTAAATTCTAAAAAAAGGAAAAAAGCCAAAATAATTTAAAATAATTAAAAAAATTTGCAAACATGTAAAAGATTTAATGCTCGAACTAATCTACAATATCATTTAAATTCATAAGCATAAGCAAATCAAGTGCAGTATCTATCCATGAAAATAAATCTACTAATTTAATAAATCAAAATTAAAATAAACAATTTTTTTTAAAAATGCATATGTGAATGACCGAAGTCTGTCTCCTGCCTACTCTACGGTCATTCACATATGCATTTTTTAAACAAATTGTTTAATTTAATTTTAATTTATTAAATTAGTAGATTAGTAGATTTATTAAATGAATAGATATTGCACTTGATTTGCTTATGCTTCTGAATTTAAATGATACTGTAGATTAGTTCGAGAATTAAATCTTTTACATGTTTGCACATTTTTTAAAAATTATTTTAAATTATTTTGGCTTTTTTCCTTTTTTTAGAATTTAAATTTGCTTTTTTACTTTTATACGTATTTGTTAAGAATTTAAATTTGTTTAAATAATAATTTTAAAATTATATCACACTTTTCTTTTATTTATCATACCATTATAATATCACCACACTGATATAATTTTCATACCTTACTACTCATGTGCATGAAGAAATCGGAGCATTTTTAGCACATTAGGTGATCAGTACAGCTGGTATCTCATATAAATTAAAGACACAGTACAAAATCTGAAATCCGGAGCTCGGAACCACCAGCAACTTTTCCCCCTTTAGAATGACTAAAAATGAAGAATATAACAATAAATAAATAAAACAGAAGGTGTGCTGTAAGAGCATCTTTTCTTCCAACAAACTTAAATTTCTACATTTTACACTAAATTTTAACCTACTCAATGACAATATAATGATTGTCACTGTACTTGAGTGGTTGTATTAGCACTTTTCTATCTATACAATAAGTGAAGCTATAAAGCATATTTGTTTAGAGTGGGATGTTGCTCATACTGATTTTCTTTTGTTAGCATAGCAACGAGGAAGGGAGGAAGTAATAGACTCCAAGGAATTTAAGTTTGGTTAACATACCAAATGGCACTTTTCATAAACTTTCTAATTTGAAACAGCTTAATATTTTTTGCATGCTATATTATTACAGCTACCTTGGAAAAACTAAAATTTGAATTTTTAATTATGTTGAAGAGAATGTTTAATTCTGAAGCAGCAACAGGATCTGCAAAGTGAAAGTAAGTTTCAACATGAATTAAGAAAAAAGTGTAATTACTGCATCAAACAGAAAAAGGCATATATATCTTAAAATTATGCATGGGATATGTCACTAGAAAATCAACAGTATAAGACATAAAAAACAGAAAATGATTTCTTTAAGATTCTAATCATTCATGTGGAATAGAAAACAGAAAAATAATTTGTAATGCTAAACATGACGACTGAATGGGAGAGACACAGTAAGGGCAAGCCATGAAGAAGTTCAGTGCTCAAGTCAAAATATTTTGTAAAGAAATGGACTTAAAAACTGAAAACATATATTTGACAGTTTGGTTAACTAAATTTAAAATCGCCACAGTATGAGGAACTTATGAAACTGATCCTTTATGAGAATATGTGTCTCCTAATACTTGTCAACTTCTGCAGAATAGCCCAAACTGATGTCAACGAGGACGATTTTGGTATATGCAATTATGGAATAAATGCATAAATGTATATTTTTCATTATTGGACAAAAATTATGACCCCCAAGAAGAGAGATTTTACCCATCTTCTAGCATTAAAATAAAACAGCAGGGATGATATAAATGAATGATTGGTTTGAAAATCATTTCATACCCAAGGTTCACCAATATATGAAATCGAGTAGTTATCTAGATAACATGAAAACTGTCCTGCTTACATTTCACTTAAAGTTTTAATAAAAATAATTCTTTTTCCAAATTGTATATCCATCATTCAGCTAATGAATACCAGAGTGCTGCTTGTGCTTAAATACGTAAAGTAGCCTTTTAAAATATATGTAAAATTCTCTGAACAGTAGCAAGATAATTTAAGAATTTTTGAAATAATATAAAATCTACTATGTGAAACATTGCAAGGTTATGGAAAGACATGTCTGTAAATATTAAAAAAAAAAATACCACACTTCAAGGTGATGCTGAGAGCTGCGAATATGAAGGTTCTTGGATATCACAAGTAAAATACGAAATTTTCCATCTCCCAGTAAATGGAATTTGAGAAGAAACACGGGAGAGTGATAATAAATTAAGATGATATAATATAAGTTTTCCACGATTACACCAGGAAAGAAATGAAACTAAACTGGCAATGCACTGAGGAAATATGCCATAACAAAAATAAGCCACAATTGGAAAAGAATTCTATAGAATTTGAAAGAAATGCAAATAAATGCTAATTAAGGTGCTAAAAAATTTTCTATTGCAGCAATCTTCAATTAAATAATATATGACAAAATCTGTAACACAATTTAAAATCCAGAACATATTACTATTGATAATGAAGAAACTGATAGAGATTGCCAAGAATGAAAATATTTTGACTAAGAGTTTAGTTGGAATTCTTGATACAGCAATTAAAAGATCTGAACAACGGAGCTTTGTAACTGAATAAGAAATTATGTTTGTCTATAAAATTAAAGGGAATGTATTAGGCCAAAGATGGAAATAGCTTATTATAACTTACACGGATAGAAGTGCTCAATAAAACAAATAAGTAAATATGGACTTGTTTTGTTAATTTTAACTCCTTTCAGGTTATATATGCTTCATTATTTCATAATTTTAATTTTATAATTTCTACATGTCATCTTACTTGATTTAAACTATGATCTAAAATCTGAACACCAGATGATCCTGGATCTCAGACTCTGTAATGCACTAATAATTCAAGGTAAAATAAAACTCTATTTAGTTGTTGCTTATAAAAAACATTGTACTTCCGTATCATAGTGTCCCTCAAAATTTAATTGCTAAAACAACCGAGATGTTACATGTAGTGAGGTATAAGAACACATGACAATATTTCAAAAAGATATCTTAGTTGATCAGTAATTCAATCTTAAGGGCCACTATATTAAGGAAGTACCAAAAATGCTTAACCAATACCCTCCAAATCAGTATTTGGAAAGTATTGGTGTAGCTGCCCAAACCACCTATATTTGCAATCAGCCTTAGAAAGACTATTTTAGTTGTACAAATAACCTCAATTTAGCAAATTTTATCACAGGTCTCAGATAATTTAGCAAATCGAAGTTTAACTTATATTGGGGCATTTAACTCGAAATTTATGTTTAAAAATGGTTGAGGTTTACTGTTTAGTATAAGAAGGAATAGTTGCGAAGTTCAATGCCTTTTGATATGATTTAATATACCAAGTGTGAAAAATAAAACAGTTCTTATTTCTGAAGTATGAGTAAAAACTTGAGTTCTTGACATAAAGCTTGATAGTTGATACCTGTGATTGATACAAATACTTTTAAAATTGAACTATATAACTTTTTAAAATTAATTAATTTACTTTAATGGAAAACATTACATAGAATGACCACTACATCATGTTTTACGATTAGTTTTTTTTTGGGGGGGTGGGGCAAGATTTGGAAATTATATTTCAAATTTAAAACATAAAAAATTCACAAAACTAAATAATTACACTTTATTAGATATCACTGCCTTTGCTCATATAAAGCACCTGTCAATTCACATAAAAGCTGATAGGCTTCAAATACTTTATTTATCTGACAAAAATACAACACTTACAAATGAAATTAATTCCATCATAAGTCTATTCAATATATTATTATATTTCTAAAATTTCATATTATCCTTTTAAGATCATAAAAAATTTGGGATACCTGATTAATGTAATCACTTCAAATTTAATAAAACTGTATTGCTTAATATTATTATTGCATTGTTTATCATAAAAAATTACACATCCTATTTAATGATTCTATTCCAATCTATTTTCAAAAAGTTTAAAATAGAATCATAACTTACAAGTTGTTAGTTTAGATAAAACTTTTCATTATTAAAAATTTTAAGGTTTTTTTTTTTTTTTTTTTTTTTTTTTTAATTTTTAAATACAGCTTTACAGCATTTTATGCTACCATAGTTATAATTATTTTTCTTACACCGAATGGCAGACTTTTCAAAACCTACATAAGATAACATATCCGTCATATGATCTTAAAAATACATATTATTAAATCAAAGCACACACTTAACACAGTAAAACTTTTGAACATATAGGCAATGAAATTTAAAAATTTCAGCTTTTGCAATTTATTTCACAGGTACATTTTTTTAAAATTCCACTATGCCACAGCTGTTGTTCTTGAAAGAAGACTTTTTAAACCTACATACATTGCACTATCAAGTAGGTGGAATACGAAAGAAGATACACATATATATTCAAAGATTAGTTTTCATAAAATATATAGATGCTTATATATTACAAATACACAATATCTAAACAGCTACAGAAAAATGATTAAAAAATTACTCACTGTTCAACAGAAGAAAAAATATTATCTGATAATTAAGTGCAATAACTTTGGCACTTTAATAATAATTCCTAAAACAGAACTGTAAAAACAATTATTTTGAGTTTCAAACAAATCATACATTTACTGTAACAGAAGTTTTAGGATGGGAGAATAATAATAAAGCAGATGAGAACATATCACATTTGTGTGAGGATCACATGTTGAAATAAATAAATTTACAATTCACTATACTTAACCATTACTTCAACACAGCAATACATACAAGTATTAAGCTTTTAGCTTTTTGGCATCAAATACATATTCAATCACATACGTGGTAAGCTTAGCTATATGCTGATATTCATAGCTATTATATCAGCAATGGTGACGGTAACAACTTCAATGTTTAACACAAAGAAAAATAGAATTCAGTTGAAACCAATATCTTCTAAACTTTCTCCCTTAAAAGCAACAGTTATGCAATAATGCAACAACAGCTGCTGCAAAAGTTCCTGTTCATCTAAGAATTCTAAGCTTTCAATACGTTCAACATCTTGTTGGGGCAAATGCTGATAAACTTCCATCATGTCCCATGACTTAGCTCCTTCCCAGCCAGCATCGGTAAATCTCTTCTGTTGAGATTCGAGATCAGAGCAAACCGATACACCAGCTAAATTGCAGCCCCTTTTTTTAAGATTTTCGATCATGACGTTACCAAATTTATCACCCATATTGACTTGCTCGTAATTGATAAACAGAGCAGTTCGGAATTTTTCTGCAATCCATTTCAAGAAAGCAGAGGTGAGATGCTCTTCATTGTAAACAAGAACACATTCTGCAAGAAACACAGTAGGAACAGTGGTATCAACAAGCCCATTCAACAATTTTGATTCTAATTCACTGATATTTCGGATGTCTGAACCGACTAAATGATATTCTCCTCCATGAAGTTCACAGCTTGAAAATTGAATATCATCATCTTCCGTAGCTACCATTCTCAGCAGATTTTTTCGATTCCTTATTAAGTAACATTTCCGCGAAGTTACAGGAGGCAAATCGATTTCTATGAAACTCTTAACAGTCACATTTTCGTCCTTTAATCTCCAATACAACGTATCAAAGCCAGCTCCAATGTTTATGACTTGACAGTTATAGTTAGTTGTTGTAAGAAATTGATCAAGCAATATTTTCATACCCATAACTCTAGCGTAATAACCACGACTTATCTCCGGAGCTTTACGATCAGAGGTTGATTTTATGAAATGTTGAATGTGAGGATCTACCCAGTATCCCGTATGTACAGCATATCGTTTACATATAGCTGCATCATCGTTCGTGGCGATAACTGCATCATCTTCACACATTGTTTTTTCTTTAGTAATAAACGTACGGATTAAGATGTAGACATATCGCTCTTTATAGAAGTGTGTTGGTAAGCTGGAGACTTAGTGACACATATCTGTTTCACAAAGGCTATATTACATGATAATACAAAAGACATCAAAACGAATACTAGAAATTTAAACGCAAAAATTACGGATATGAGACGGAGAATTTCAGTTTTCTAGTCTGTAGTCTATATTTATTATGGGAGTTGCGTTGAGTACGACAAATGCTGTGGATTCAAAGTCTTGAAATCTTAAAATTTGATTATTACATATCATAGTTAAACCACAAACACTGCAAAATAGAAATTTTCTAATTTTATAGACATAATAGCATTAAAATTTTCAGAAAATATATAAACAATTGCAATGTAGTATTATCATTGCTATAATGCATGAGATATAAATTCATTGCATATTTATCTGTAATATGTAATATAATTTTGAGATTATTTAAAATGAAGTTTTAAGAGAAATAAATTTAAATTTAAAAAAATTGACCAGTTAAAATTAATACGTTGCGTTTGTAACTGAAGTGAAGTGCGCTATCGCGCATTTCAATTTTCAAATAAGATGTTTTGTGTCAGTAACTGCCGTTTTGTGAATTTTTTATTCACTGGCTATTCATTTGGGATAGTTATTAGTTTTGTTTTATAGGTAAGATTTCTATATTATTTTACTTTTGTTTGTAAATATATGCACATCGTTTTAGAGGTTCATGACTGTTTTTATGATATTTCCAGTTTTAGTGTATATCAGTTTCATGCCCTGATCATGAGTTATTGAAATTATATAATTAATGTTTATTATAAGTTATTTTTCATGTTTGAAAATTCGAAGTTTTTTGTAAAAGTAAAATTTTGTGTATTTGTTTCAAGCTCTTAAATTTAGACGCTTGTCTCTAACATATAAGTGTTTCTACTCTTTATTATTGAAAAAAAAAAAAAAAAAAAAAAAAGCGTTAGGCAAAGCACTTGTCTAATGTAAAAGATGAGAGGGGACGAAAAATTAAAAACAAATATTAACGTTAATGTGTTAAGCAGGGCAGGCACTCATTTTTTGGCTCCGGCACGCGAATTAAGTTTTTAATTTTTATCTTATTTATTTTTTTATGTGTATTTTAAAAGGTTTTTTTTTTTTTTTCGAAGGGAGTCGAGCAATAAATTATACTTGAAAAACAAATCTGTTTCTTAAATTTTTGAAGCACTTCTTTAAACTACTTAATTTTCATAATTTGCTGGCCATGCAAAATTGACATGGCTTTTTGCGTGACAAGTTAATTTTTATTGCCAAGTTTAGTTTTTAAAATGATCATTTTTAAATTGCATTCTCAAGAAATGTATTTGAAACAAAACCAAAAAGTAAAATCAATTATTAAAAAAAAGTAAGATGTTATTAAGATAGGCTTATAATCATTTTGAATTACCAATTTACTGCAAGTACCTTTTTTACCACATATCTCATGTTAGAATTAAGTTGTGTGCATGTCTTTTTGTTATTGTCTTTCAAACTATTTTTCAAAATTATAAGTTTTTTTCTGAATTTTTTTTAATTTTTTGCCAAGAATACAACCATGTCATTATTCCCTTTTTAATTGTTTGAAACTTTCAGTAGCATGGCGTGCCCATAAACATGTAAAGTATGTTAAGTCTAAGTTTATTTATAGGTTTTTGGCAATTGGTCATTATATTAAAATGGTTATCGCTGACTATTAAGGCCAAATTACAACTATATAGTTTGATTTTTCATTTATTATTTTTACTTTTATTATCATCCTTTCAGTTTCAAGCATGTACTGTAGTATAAATCTGCGATAAAGTATTTTTTGCCTTTTAGTAAATTATAAAGCAAATTTATCATTAATACCTTATCTTGGAGCTGTTGGCTGATGCTGTCTATTATGATAACATAGTTTTCAAATAAAATATAAACTTAAAATCTATTTTAATCGAAAAATTTTGTTCTGCATGGTGGAGCTTTTGCATAAAATAATCAGAATTCGTAATTTCATGTTTCATTCAAAATTTCTCATCCCTTGCACGTTAAATTGGGAATAGACTTTAAAAGAATTGTCCAAAATCTTGATAAAGTAAAGAATGCTATTATCTGCCTTGATTTTTGACAAGTATTTTTTAGAATATTAGCAAACCCATAGAAAAGAAATGTCTTGATGTTTTCATTTCAGTGCAAGATTTAATTTTTTAACTTTTCACACTTTTTCCTTTTAAACTTTTCACAGCGAAGTTCGCCCGAAATGCCTGTGCATTCAGGCATCGGCAGGTTGCTCGAATGCCTGCATCCATTCTGTAGCTGGTGCTTCCTCCCATCATGTTAATGCATGGCCAGTTGATTTCAGAAGTTGTTAACTGATACCTAGTCATTTTTTTGAAGCGATTAAAAGTACAGTGGAACCTTGGAATACGAGTCAATGCTGGAATACGAGTATTTCCAGCATTGACCTCGTATAGCGAATTTCTCATATCTAAAAACAAACTTCCCCACTGAAAATAATGGAAATCCAGTTAATTCTTTCTGCAGCTCCAAAAATATTAACATAAAAATCAATTTTCCAATAAATAACACTGATAAATAATATACCATAGTTTACTTTTATGTTAGCTTCTGACACTGATCTTTTAACTGCTTCTAATTAATCCACACCAACAACAGCTTCTCAACACCTTCTAGGAGTTTGGGACGGTGCTTGGAAGCAATGGTAACTCTTTTGGCTACATCAAATTTCTTCCTGCTTCAGAATGGTGCAATTACCATATTTTTTTATTTTAGTGTTAAAGAAACTCTGGATTTAAAATTTAACATAAAAGCAACCTTAATTTGGTGAAGTTTTTGAAATCGATTCCGAGAGCAATCAGACATAGGTCTCTATATTTTGGTTTGGTTTATTTGATTGCAAAAAAACACGCGGGGGCTATCAGCCTAAGGGAAGCCTTCGTGGAGTAAAATGGCTCAGATGCGCATTATGTATGGGGAAAGCCAGGAAAGCACCCATGCAGCCAGCCCATCTGCTGGATTCAAACACCAGACCGAACTGCAAGTGTTCAGAGACTTTAGCGGTTGGTGAGCTCGGTTTCTATATTCCAAAAGTGGGATAGAAAATTGCAGCAATCGAAAAAGTGAAATGATTTTTTATTTAAAGAAATAGTATTAGCAAAGCAAAAACAAATCTAATGTGATCAGTCGTGAAAAATAATAAAAGCTAAGTTATCAGAATATTGAAAGCTTTAAAAAATTGTAATTTACTAAAGAAGAAAATATTTTTGTAAATGTGAAAGGGTTCAAAGAAATCCAATTTACGCTGCATTTGTGTTTACTTTATTCCACTCATTCTTTCCATATAAAATTATTTCACTTTTCCGACCGCTGAAATTTTCTTTCTCACCTCTGAAATATAGAGACCAATGTCTAATTATTTTCGAAACTGATTTCAAAATCCACACAAATTTGCTTTTGTGTCCAGTTTTAAAATCCAAAATTTCTTTAATACTAAGTTAGGTGAAAAATTTAGTACAGTCAAAAGTTGTTAATTCGGACACCCATAATCCAGACCTCAAAGCTACAAACTTTCTGTGCATGCGTCGCGTTGACGCATGCGCGTAAGACCTTTACGGCTGCGAATGTGCGTGTGCGCATAATACGTTTACGCATACGCGTTTAATGTATAACGGACGGTATAAGCTAAGCTAAAATTATCTAATTCAGTTAATGTTGCAGATTGCGTTGTTCCTTAATCTTCTAATTGGATCCCGCTTATTATTTTTTTGCAGACTGTTAGAGCAATTTTATAAAAGTAAGCTTGAACTTTCGATTATGTCAAATAGATTTTCCAATATATATTTACTAATATGTAAAGGATCTACAAAGCGAAAGTATGTTTCGAAGTCCATTAAACAAAAAGTTAAATTGCTGCAAAAAATGGATAAAGGCATATCCTTTGTTTTTCTAACCATTCCGAAATCTGTTTATCAATTTCACTCTGCTTTTCGGGTGAGGGGAACGTTGCGGCGCGCAATGAACTGGAAGTTGATCTGTCAGCACTATCCATATCTTCAGGGCAGCTGTTTTTAATTTATTATAGCTTTCGGCTAGATGTTTTCGGCTTATAGTTCATTACTAAATGTAGTATTTCATCTCGATGTACTCTGTTTTTTATAGCAGTGCTCCGCAACCTCTTCTCACCTGCGACGCACAAAAAATCTTTCTGGAATTTCGTGGCACATCAAAAGCTAATGTATATATGTATTGATTTATACACAAAATTTACAATAAATTTTTGTTTTTAATTTGAAAAATATACAATTATAAAACCATAACATATTTTATTTATATGCAATCATAATAATTATCAATGTGATACCTGCGCTTAAAAAAAGTTATATATTTTTGAGTTCCGAGTTATCAAGGAAGTGCCGAAAAAATTCAAATGCTGACACACTTACAATCACACACACAACCACACAACAGTGAAATATATTAAAACATTTAATATAGACATTATTAAGGAAAAAAAAATGTCGTTGTGTATTAAATACATGATAAAAAATTGCAAAATGTCAAATACATGTATTTGATTGCGGCACACCTATATCCTACTCATGGCACACCGGTTGCGGAGCACTGTTTTATAGGACTTAAAATCAAATTCATTATAAATATCACGAATACACATCAAATAGTTTTCTGGTGGGAATTTTCTAATTTCGACTATGCGTAATGTATGCTTTACGCATGCGCACGTTGAAAGAAATTTTTAATAAAGTAAACAAATAAATATTAAGCCTTTTTTTTTTTTTTTTTTTTTTTTTTTTTTTGTAAATTTTGATATCCTTTAGATCATAATTGTTCTTTATTTCATAAATTATGGTTTCATATTTTTAATTTTATAATTTCTGACTGCCATCTTACCATATTTAAACTGATGATCTATAATCCGGAATCGCTGAAGTTCCAATGAGTCAGGATTACGACTGTACTTGTTCACAAACCTTTTCTTTAGGTTTCTTGGAAACAGCCGCTTCCCCAGATAAATATGGAGAAATTTTGCTAAAACATTGTTGCATGTATTTTTGTTTATATGTACTCATTGTCAGCTAAAAATATCCGGTTAAATGTCCGTGAAAAATGGTCATAATGGCAAGTAAATGATGAAACAGCTGTTATATCATTGTTAACCCTCTCGCTGC